AGCGCTCAGTTTCGCGCAATTCACACGAACAATTGCGTTTCACAATGCCGTAACAACACTGAACAATGCGTTCACAACGATAATTCAATAGCGGCCAGGGCCTCGATATTAAGCGTACGACAGGAGTAAGGCAATTTTTTGGGGGCATGTGAGAAATTGGCCTTGAATTTTTTGCTCTAAAATGGATGGGCAGCCGAGGGCAATTTATAAGAGGCATCAAAGGCAACTCTCACAATTTGAGATGGCACAAAGGCCCTATTGTTATGGAAAGCTTGTGTCATCGTATGTAATATTCTATCTAAAATTTCTCTAAATAATTTTACTGCCACTTAGGCATAGGCCTACACACCGTATCATGATCAACTGGCCATTCTGCTGTCTGAGCGTCGTTTTCCCCGGGGTGGTGCGCTTTAAATCGCAGGTCGGCCGAGTCCCCCCGGCCGGCGTGCAGTCATTTAAATAATTCGTGTTCTACCACGGCATAACACAGGTGCACTATCCTTATCGATCGGTCTACTGCGCAGCGTGCAGAAATACCACGTTATATATGTTTTACGCGCCGGGTAGACTGGTATCGCGGCCTCACGCTCTGCTAGAGAATGTACAGCTCTGCGACAAACAGTGCGGCCGCAAACTGGTCTATCTAGTTCCAGTATTGCTATGATGTCTTAGTATCGTTTGCTGTCTATTATCAGTATATTAGGTGCATAAGTGCTAGGTCATCTGCGTCTGTGTCGGTGGATTTCAAGGGAGCAGTACGGCGATTGATAGGGCACGCCGCAAATTGCCGTCGATGCGTCGGGTTAATTCGAGCCCTGATACCTGGCCAGGAGTGTGCCGTAAATATACGCGCGCTTAGTTTGGCTGCGGAATATGATCTCCGCGGGCTTAGCAAGCTGGAGCATTCGCGGCCTAAGCAAAGCCCGTGGCTAAGCAAGCGCGTATATTTTACGTGTGAACGCCAATTTTCTCCTCGTGTGAACGCCATCTATGTTCCCACTAGCGTTGCACACATGTGTATCAAAATTTCGCCAGAGTATTTGTTTTAGGCTCTTCCGCATACACTGATGAGTGTGGAAGAAGGAGGAGTTGCGTTCAGAGGGAGTCAATAGAATCAAATATCACCAAGCTTCAACAATCTATACTATTCCATTTTTACTTATTTCATTATTTTAGCTTTTAAAATATGGCAACAGGATATACTCATTGAGTCACAGCATATAATAATTGCGTTTTCTGCACGAGCAGGGGGGGGGTCAGGACCCCCTGTACACGCCCCTGCAGTAATTGAAATGATTTAGGTCTGCCCATGTCTCCAAATTATCATAATTAGCTGAACTTTCAAGTGGGGCACGGAGGAAGGAGTTTTTTTTTGAATCTCAGGGGGGGGATATTTGTACAGGCCATCCCCCCCTCCTTCAAGAGCGGGGGGGGGATGCATCCCCCATCCCCCCCGGGATTTACGCCCATGATGTATAGTGTGTATTACGTGCTGTGTAGGTATATGTTTGTGTACGTCTGTTACCATTTTTTGCCGTGCGAGCAAGGCAGTCAAGCTGATCTAGTAATTGCCTTGGAAGAAGTGACAGCTACATACATTAGAAGCTAAAAAGCAGTCATTGGATGCAGAATCGGTGTCCGCTGTTCAAATTGAGCAACTTGATACATTGCACCTAAGTCTTTCCACGGCAGGAAATGGGAAATAGGTCTTTTCTTTATTCTGCTAGATACTGATTTTGTGCTAATGTGTGTTCTCAGAACGGAACCTTGATTGTCAAGTTGTAGGACAAACAGTACTGGTTAGCGGGTCCGGCACGCAAGTAAAATCTGGCGGACCTGCCCAATAAAATCTTCAGTCTGGCAGGTCAGACGAATTCTGCATTCTCTGGTCCAGGGCGTATAAACAGCATGTAGCACTAGCACTGTTCAGATTAGGAACTTTTTATAAGCGCTAAGAACAGGAGTCCTTTAGGCAGCCTAGTAAGACTACTTTTAGCAGTCTTTCTTTTAATTGTCATTTCATTTGTGCATTATTCTGCTCTCTCACTGGGCTTACTGTCTATTGCAGGGGTAAAGAAGGGTGACAGAGTTGCCATCTACATGCCGATGATACTGCAACTTCAAGTCGCCATGTTGTCTTGTGCTCGCATTGGTGCTGTACATTCCATTGTCGTAAGTGCCTCTCTACTGCTGCTTCCCCGCTGTACTACTCGTAACCCCGTGCCCCAACGTATATAGTCACAGTAATCACCATGACCAAACCGTGGAACGCAACAGTACCCGCTGTAATATAGGTGTTGTACAACAGTAGAAGGCGTCCATAGGCAGCAGGCCTGAATAAGCATCGAACAGAAATGAATTAAAAATACTCACAGTTTCATCACATACACAACATAAACTTTATTCATGTTTTAAATAACTACAGATTCATGCTCTATGCTCCGCTCGAAACTTTTGCCAGCTCTATGATGCGAATTTCTACAAAGTAGTCGGATCACGTTTCAAACACAAAAATGGCCAACCGGTCACCATGGCTACTTCACCTGACGGAATATCACAGCTACACACCAAGACCAATCTTACTTCTAATGCTTCCTAGACGTCCACGAGGAATCTAACTTGCGTGCATAATTCAAATTATTGCATTCTAGTGCTGAATTTCGCTGGGAAAAAATGCCAAACAAGGCCTTTTCTAGAGACGAAATAATACAATGGTGAACACTTTCAGATTTTTAAAAGATACAAAAAAAAGTTGTTTGCTATGATTCATGAATGCCTTCTTATTTTGTGTGCAATGATAATTTTTAAGATGTTATCGCAGAAATATATTCTAAACGTATGCATGCATACAATCTTACATATGTTATTCTTGGTTATATTTTCTTGTCAGAAACCATACCTTAGGATTCGTGCCCACTACAGTGTGTGACGTATGAGTGTGTAGGAGTTGGTGTAATCAAATGTATGTACATTTGTTTTACATGTCGGCATACGTTGTTTAACACATTTCCATCTGCTTGCAGTGCATGCATCAGGTCTAGAAATGTCTTATCATATTGCAGTTTGGGGGATTTTCATCGGAGTCGTTAGCAGAGAGGATAATGGATTCTAGCTGCTGCCTCCTCATCACTGCTGGTAAGTAGCGCTGAGAGGGTCTATGTCCCCCAGGGTACTGCCGGAACGTACCCTGGGTACGGCCGGTATACCGGAATGTACCCTGGTACTATCTAATATGCCGGACCGTACCTCGCCTACTCCACTAACGAGTCTAGGGAGTCGCCTACGCCTACTCCCTAACCCTAACCCTAACCATATCAAATAGTTACCAGGGTACGTTAGGGTATACCGGACCGTACCCAGGGTACGTTCCGCAGTACCCTGAGGGGACATAGACCCTCTCAGCGTAACTATCTGATATGGTTAGGGTTAGGGTTAGGGAGTAGGCGTAGGCGACTCCCTAGACTCGTTAGTGGAGTAGGCGAGGTACGGTCCGGCATATTAGATAGTACCAGGGTACATTCCGATATACCGGACCGTACCCAGGGTACGTTCTGGCAGTACCCTGGGGGACATAGACCA